CCATCGCCATATGGCGAAAACATTAACCAATGCAAAATTAAGCACAACTGTGAGGCAAAAGGCGTATCATCTCAACACTAATGCAAACCTGACTTCGCTGGTCTGTACAAAGCTTTGAACTGGACCGGTGTTGGTGGCCGTGACTCACTGGATCAGAAGCGGACCTGGCGCGATAGCTCTTCGCATGCAGCGCCACTAATGAGAGCACTGAATCATCGAACCATCGAGCGGAAGGCATCTTTTCTCAAATCAGCTGCATGAGCGCAAGCTGCGACCCGTGTACACTCGAAAACCAAGGCGCTGTAGCTCAAGGTGGTCTGTTGGGTTGAGGAGCTCAGAATTACGCACGTGATATCCAATCAACACTAGGCGGTTCCCAAACCAGCTAGAAGTAGCGTGGCGAACTCTCGGACTGAAAGTAATGAAAGGCCTGGTTACAGGAACTAACCTGCCCAAGAAACCATCCATATCATGATGCCCTGCGCAATCTTCCAGCCATAATTCGCCATTCTCGAAGTCTGAGGCAGGAACCAAAATGTTTGGTATGTGAGCTGCATTGCTGGAATCACGATGCACACCAGAGCGTACGTTAAGGGAGATGCCAGCTGAAGTGAACCAATGAGAGGGAGCTACGCTCTGAAGCACTGCAGCTACCATCACCGTGACGTTCACAAATCTATGTGAGTTGGTCATGATACCAGCCGAGACCCCGTGGATATAGGCCCCAGTCAGGAAGGAGCATGACCATGCATCACCTTGCGAAGGAACCTGAAAATTGCGGGTACTGGAAGGTAGGGATTCTGTTAAACACATCAAGTCATCTTCCCATATCCAGCGATCACGCAGCGCTCTCAGCGCAAGAACTTCACTGGCTTGTTCTGGCTCTGGACCATCAAGGCAAAACTCCTCCGGGACATGTAAATTGAACCCATGTCGGGTCACTGGGCTGGCCGCCGGAGATGGCGAGTATCCGGCTAAGCTGTCACTCAAACCTTCAGTTTGACACTCTTCCGACTCATCGGACTCAGAAGGAAAGGTTGGCTCAGATTGTTCTAGCGCTTCTGATCCTGGAAAGGCCAGACCTAAGATCGAGGGCGCCTCAATCAAGAGAAGTTCTTCCCTTTCATCTGCCTCCACCCCAGGAGGCCTCGCCATTCGCGGCAGCAGCTGCAAAATTCTAGCTCTCTGTGCAGGACCCATGCTGAGCCTTCTCCAAACCGCTGCGTTCACCACACTTTCATGAGCCGCCTTAAAGCATACATTCCGCCAGCTCCATGTAAGCATGCCCGAGTCGCCGAAGAGCATCCCATAGACCTCAATTGGCGCTCAACTCTAGAAAAGTAGCCTGCGATGCGAGCTGGTTTGTAGACCTGCCTCCAGCACAACACTGTCCCTTTTCAGCGGCTGTATGGAGGCTGCATGCATGAATACGGCAGGGATCTACTCTTCGGTAGGCCTGCAAGGGCCAAAAAGCATGTCCGCACTGGGTTCCTGGAAAATCACCCAATGTTCCTCGAAACTTGCGTGGCCAGATTTGACCGCGGGGCTCGGTCCGGTTTCAGGGAGCATCCGCAAAGCTGCAAAGCGCTGTTCATGCATAGAGCTCGAAGGTGCAGCCCAAGTTGAGTGGCGCTGTCTGACGACAACCCGACCTGAAGAAGAAAGACAACGCTCTCCCCCGTCATTGTGTCCGAAATCGGCCTCACTGGGTGAAAGCGGCTCAGGGCGTAGTCCCCTGTGCAATGCCTGATCACAGCCTTCAAGTGATCCACCAGCACAGCAGTCGGAAGCCCCGGAGAGGATTTGACAGGCAGTAGCTTCTTCTGCTCAGCATCCCAAGCCAACACTGGCCAAAAGTTCAGATCCTCCGAGATCCAGCCGTGAGCTTTAAATTCCGCCAGGGCCGTTTCGTCCGTCGGCAGCTTCTCCACTCTGCTGAGTATCTCTCTAAAGAGACATAGAATGAGTGTGCAGCGCATCGGCTTGTCCAGCTTCTCCGGCTGGTACTTTTTCAGCTCTCGCCATCCAGCTTGAACCCGATGCAAGGCTCCAACAATGCTCGACTCGCAGCCTATCTTCGCATGCGCTACGAAGGAGACTTCAGCACGTAGCAAATTAAGACTGTCTTCGTGTCGCAGCGACATTTTGGACAGAAGAGCCACCTGCTGCTCAAGCGCGGCTATGCGGCCTCCAGATTTTGACTCCTTGTTCTGGCTCCACCAGCTTTGCCATCCTTCGTCTTTGTCTCCATCCTGTTTGGGATGGTCCTTGCTGCTAGGCGCTGGCTTGCGGTCGTTGCCTTTTCCACGTCCACCCCCTTGGCCTTTCTCGTTTGACCTGGGGTATTTCAAAGGATTCTCATCATCCTTGGAGTCCTTGTTCGCCATGGCCTGCTTGCCGCTTGGCATGTAGCTATCAAAGAAAGCCATCTCCTGCTGCTGCGCCGGATCCAGTTGCTCAGCCATGTCTTTCATAGGCGTGCGCTCAATCTCTATACAAAGCGCCCTATGCTTGAGAGGAGCGGATCAGGAAAAGCATGTATGCGTTCCTCTGAAATTCTGCAGCCATGTCCACAACTCTTGCCCGCACCCCATCGTCTGAGTATCCCCACTGATCTCCCGCTCGTAGAAGAGCTCGGTAGTGTCCCGCTGTGGGCCTCGCGCCAAGGTGAAGGACCACTGCCTGAACCCGGTATGTATGCCATCGCACTGCAACCCCCTCATCAAACTCGGGAACCAAAACATCTGAGGTCAAGTCAACTCGTGAGGTGTCCTTGGCGCCATTGATGTACCTCCCAATTTGCACAATGAGTACTCTACCAACTCTGGAG